TTAATTATTACTTGGTGTTCTTAGCATGGAAAAAAATTTTTTAAATTCCAAATAATTATTGCCCAAAGACAGCATTTTTTAACAAATTATCACTGCTGTCTATTCGTTGGAAGCAATTAAAAAAATTTTTTATTTCAAATTCACAATCCCACATACTTAGGTATACCGCCAATAGAATATTTCAAATATATTATTTTATGTTTTCTTTTGATTGTGATTATATACATAAATATAAAAGATTATCATGTAAAATAAAAAGAAAAACATTTAACACGTAAAAAGTTATCTGAAATTATTTACATAAAACGATGGACCATCACAAGTTACCCACAACAATTGTTATGTATAATGAATTGTTAATGCTGTTTGTCGCGACAAGTGAAAATTAAAAAAAAAATAAAAACGTTTTTCCAACGTACCCAATTTCTTTACCATATTTATAAATGATGTTATTATACCGATATTTTACCGATTCAATTTGTTGTACTTTTACAAAAAAAATCTTTTTCCACCTACGGCGCTTCCTGTACCAAGCGTCTCACATCTACAATAAGTACCCTCACAAATATCAAGCATCGCGTAATAACATTAAGCTAGAAACCGATGACCACATAATATAATACATCTACAACACACGACAGGAGAAAAAGAAAAACCGGTGCCTCTCCATCGATCGTCCACCGACAATAAAATGAAAAAATCCTTTCCTTTTTTTTTTTTTTTCATAAGTAGGTATAATATGTTATTGTTCACGTGACTCCCCGTCCAAGACCCCTCGTGGCCGTGTCATCGCTGGATAAATTATGTATCCCATGCATGTGACTCCACGACTGGCAAAATTCTCGATGAACACACACACACCCACCCAGTGGTAAAAAAAAGAAGGGGGGGGGGAGGAAAGGAGCGGAAAACAGTTAAACGCCGTGAAACTCACCCCCTATACCTACATGCGAAGAATCGTCTCTTCCTCGTTTCCACCTGCCCCATCGTACCGTTGCGTGCATAGCGTTCGCGTTCGTGCGTAAATACACACACAGACACACACACACACGGCACGTTAACCGTATCCACACGTAGATACATAATATAGCAGGTATAGGTATAATATAATCTAGAGAACGCGAGCCTAATTATTTCGGCTTGCGGGGGTTAAACGCTACGCTTACGCGCTTCGATGATCACCGTCGCACCCTCGCTATCGCGCACCCTTGCATCCATATATTATTACGTAGACTTGCTTTGGTAATACATTTAGTAGGTATATTTTCCGGTGTACACGGTATCATGCATACGATACATTTATATTATTCGTCTCTTTGGCTTTTGTTTTATTTTATTTTATTTTATTTATTTATTATTACAAAAAAACTATTCTGAATGATGATAAGACAATTTTCTAAAAAAACTTCATAATACCAGTCTAGTGACTGATTCCTCGAACCTTAAAATTTTCTAAATTTTTCGCACTAGAAATATCTGAAGAAACA